ACAAAATTCATTATTCATTAAAAAATGCTACCCTGGAAACAGGGCCTTCAGGACAGCTGTAACCAAAGCCGTGATGCTGAAAACCATCTCAAAAAGACCTTATTAACATTTCAGTGTTGGCGCTCAGGTCCAGGAGAAATGTGAAGGAAGGACCACGTGTCGCCCCTCAGCATGGCACAGAGCAGTCTCTGCTCTCTCCCGGCTGGGCATAAACAGGTTCCACAAACACTCGCTCGGTAGCCACGTATCTGCAGAAGCTGCCTCTGGATCCGCCCAATTGCTCACAAGGCAGAGGAAAAGGCACCACCAGGTCACCGGGGTGCATGGAGAGCCCTCCCACGACCAGCCAAAGCGCCTCCCACAAAGTCTCCCCTTTTGCAGGAGATGACCAACCGTTGCCCCTGCCCAGACCTCTTAGTGGAAGGCCTCAGGCCCCGGCCGTGCTTCTACGATGGCTTCTCTTCCCTTGCTCTTTCCCTCTTACGTCCTCTGGCCCTCCCGCTATCTTTTTACTTCAAGCTCTTTCATGCTCCAGGATCCACCTGCTTAATTAAAAGGAGCCTCTGTTTTTGCGCGATTGAAACCCTTGGGGACCAAGGGGATAATTAAATAAGGATGAGAAATGTGTCCTCTAACAGTCCTAAATAAATAAGAGGCCACAGTAAGTCGGACCCACCCAACAGAAATTAAATTCGTTCGATAGAAATTTGGGACAAGAACCCAGCAAGACCTAAGACACAGATGTCTCCATTCCACCCCCCTGTGCCCCCCCAAGGCAGGAAACTTTTAGCCATTCCCCCAAACGCCACGGACTTCAGAAGCACTTCCTTTCATCTCCGACGAAACCTCTTCCAAGAACAAAGGAGCTCATTCTGCAGTCCTCGGTTATGCAGTATATTAAAACCTTTAACTTTGGGGCTCTTCTGCAGCACAGGAGACCAGCCGTTGCGGTTGTGTGCAGAACCCTGTCGGTGTCCATCTCCTTTCGGACTAAGGGCCGCGAGGCCCCCGGCCTTACGCCCTTCAGCTTCCCATGCCTGCCATGGACTGTCCCTGGGCCTGCTTCCAGGAACAAGGAGAAGAGGCCATGGAGGCATCGCAGGATACCTTCTTTTGGTCATTTCTTTAAACTATTCAATTTTTTAAACTACTCTAATACAAATGACAACAAAGACAAACGTTGTTACCAAGAGTAACAATTGCAATTTCACTTCCTTTAAACTATATCACGAAACTGTAGCAAAAGCTAGATAAACAAAACAGAAAACTAAGGGTAAGAGAAAAAAAAAAGAAAATTAAAAAAAAAAACGTTTTATACAGTTCAGTATGATAATATTGTAATTACAGTCATTCCACTCTGTTTTAAAACAGTGAGTTAAACCTAGGCCATAGAGAATCTCGCCCCTCCATCAACAGAAGGCCATTTTGAAGGCTGAGAGCTGACTCAGTTTGCTGAACCAAACTTTAAAATGTGGTTCAGGCGCCTTTTTCCAAGAATGCAACCTCCCCGCCCCCACCCACCGCTTTTCACTCCTGTCCAGGCACAATGGAGCCAAAACACTTCATACGTAAACGAATTCCAAATTTTGGGAATGGGATTTAACATTGTCCTCTTGGATTGGCACTGGAGTGCTCCACCCATTTCTACCCCGTGGATGTTTGCTCGCAATCCTTAAGGAGAAAGCCCTGAGATTAGCCTTTTTGGTACCAAAGATTTCGTGCACAGCGAGCGAGTCGTGTGACAGCTCGGCAAAGACGTGGTGGAGGAGAGCCCAGCCCCAGCCTCCTTCAGGTGCCCAAGTGTCAGGGCTGGGGCATTCATCCGGCCAGCTCCCCCGGCCCTGGCCTCCCACCTTCCCGGTGCTTCATTTTTTTAGCATTTCTGAGGCCTCTCCGGAACGGTGAGGAGGGAGCAAGAACTGCACTCAGCTTCAGTGAACGATCAACCAAGGGATGGGAAGACTTGGAAACAGAGTCCCATCAGGCTAAGAGCGCAGAGGGGCTTCTTCGCAGCTTGCCTCATGCCAGGCATCTTCCTGACTTCTAAAGGAGGCAAAGGCTGCTTGCTTGAACCTCAGCCATGATTAGCTGGACATCGGCCTGCAGTGGAGCTGGCCTGTCCTCCTGGACCAACGTGGCCCAGCTCAACTCAGCTTCAGCGGCTCCCGACTGCCTTCCTTTGCTGTTAGAGGCCGGATGGGCAAGGCTGAGGGTAAGGAAAGGGCCTTTTCGGTGATAGCCCTAAAATCTGACACAGCCTCTCTGTCCAAGCTGGTCCTTCTTAGAGGGTACCCTTGAATGTCTGATTTGTTGTGCTGAGTCACCCTCGTTTGACTTGGGAAAATGCCATGGATGAATCTTTCATTGTTTGGCTGATGGTAGCTGCCATTGTGCCTAGCAATTTCTGAGCAGATATTTGTATGGGAAAGACGTATATAACCAGAAGCTTTAGACTTGTTTTCAAGGTGGGCGGGGTTCAGTGAATTGCTGAATTTTGCTGCAAGGTCTGACCCAAAACTGCCAGAGTTAAGCCATCGCCCAGAGCTGGACATCCGGCTGTCCAGAATGAGGGGCAACCTGTCATTTGTGTGCTTCATCTCTGGTGCAATTGCCCTGTCTCCGTGTCTGCAGAACCACGTTGCCCCATCCAGGCAGCAACTGTAAAGAAGCAGAGGCACCCTGGGAGCAGCGGGCCCTGAAGCTTGCACAGAATTTGGCGTCCTTGACTTGAGCTAATAAAGGTGTTGCCTTAATGCGGATTCAGAGTTACAAAGTGGTAATCTATGGATGCTGTCGAGAAGGGAATGTTCATTTGATAATCTTCTTTGCAACGAGGGGGAAGAGGCAGTTAATGGCATTAGATTTTCAGGCAAGCTCTTAACGTGAGCTGTCCTGTGATTTAATTAAACTGGTATCCCTCAGCGCTGGTGTTTCACGCTCCAAAAATAGGTGACATTGAGGTTTGTGAGGAAAAGGCTATTCTTTTTCCCTTAAAAATTTTGTTCTGATCAGCAAAAGCTATGCTCAGCAAATAAAGGCACCCATTTGCTCACAATAGGAAAATATAAAAAGTTAAGAGGAAGAGAATTTGCACCATATATCAGAGACCCGCAGGGTTGGATGACAGGGACCTCTAAAATGCAGCTACAGACTTTCTTGGAGTTGGAAAGGCATCAGAAAAGCATCACCTACTTTTCTATAGGTGGAGAAATGTATAGCATCCAAGAAACATTTCAAAATGTTCCCTGGTGCTTTGGCAATTGAAGGGATCTGGACTGCATGCACCCTCACATGGCAAGAGAGCCCAGGGCACGCCTGGCATTATTTTAGCGAACACACAGCCCAGTTTGGTTGCTCTCAGGCTGAGCTCCAGAAGGGGAGGCAAGTTAACTGTGGAGAGGTGAAGAGGAGGCATTGACTGTTACGCCCATAACCGGCTCCACCACAAATTCCATGTAGTTTTACTTCATTCCCTACACACACACCATTTCTCTTCTTCTCTGCTTTGGGCAATTCCTCAGGCCCTGTCCTTTCTCCCCCCGTTAGTGTTTCTTTCAGACACCCACATGTCTTGCTCTCACCAAATAATTGCAGAGACTCTGCTCTTCCTCCCTGGCTTCTCCAAGAACAAAGTAGAGTGAAATAATCAAAGCAATCAGATGCAGGAGAGAGAAAAGTGTGGCGGTTTGCTGAGTGCCGCACTCCCAATAAAACTATGTGGTGCATGTTTATGGCCTGTATCGCTTTGGCGTAAAGCGAAAGACGTAATATTGCAGACCTGCCCCCAAACTGGAGCCCAGTCTGGCAAAGGCAGCTGCCGGCTGCGAGCGAGATCCAGAATCTGGACAGAGACAGAGACAGAGACAGAGACATCCGTCTGGCGATACCCTTCACTATATTATAACAACAGCTACACTAATTAGTCAGTTACTCAGTATTCAAGTGAAGCCATCGCGTGGCTCCTCCCCTGCCCATGCTTTGGTGCTCCTGCACCCTGCAAGTTAAATCACAAGTGGGGACAAACGTGGCAGGACCCCCTGCGGCCAACTTGCTTGCAGGGCCATGGGCGTGTCTGCCATGGCTGGGGAGGGCACCGGGAAGCTGCCATGAGTGGCGAGCCCCGCCATGGGGAAGGCTGCTTAGAGGAAGCCCGGCGCCAACCCAGGCCCCACTTCCCAGAGGCTCCCATGTGTATCTTTACCTGCTTTATTAGAAAGGACATCAAATTACGCGTTATCGCCACTGCCACCAATGTGAAAAAGAGAGATTAGACTGTACCCCACCTGCAGTGGCCAGAATATTGCTGATTGCCAGCCTTGCAAAACCACAAATTACCGTCCTGTGCCTGGTCGGTGGGCCGCTCTTCCCCCTCCCTCGCTCCTGACGCGCCAAGGTGGCAAATGGGCAATTCGGCTTCCTATGCCCCGGGGCATTTGGGCTTTCCTTTCTCAGCCCCAGCCAGCAAGTCCAGGATGGAAGGGGAGGGGGAAGGAATACAGACATTTGCAAGACACCCCATCCAAAAAATGGTCTGTTTTCCTGCCTGCGTCACCCCCACCTCCTGCCAAGGAGTTGCTGATACAGAGCTTTAAAAAGGGGGCACGCAGGGGCCCTGCTTGCCTCTCCCCACCAAATCAAGAGAGAGCTGGAATCACCCCCCCCCAAAACAGAGGGAGTGGGAGGTAATGTGAGGGAGATTTAATGCTGGGAGCTTGAGGAAAAAAATCAAAACAGGGCCTTGAACCATTCTGCAAATGAAGAGATTTTTCTAGCCCATCTCTCCAAAGAAAGCGGCCTTCAAAAAAAGATTGCCCTACTGGAGAGTTACTGCTTCTTAATGCCCCCCCCCTTCTCTTTCTCTAATTCCAGATCTTCTTTGAATGACTGTCAATAAGGCAACACCTATGGAAGGAAGGAAGGAAGGAAGGAAGGAAGGAAGGAAGGAAGGAAGGAAGGAAGGAA